AGAGAGAGAAAGAGTTAGGGAGGGAGGAGAGAGACGAGGTAAAGAGGGAGAGAGAGAGAGAGTAAGGACAAACGGGAGAGAGGAGAGAGAGGGTGAAGAGAGAGAGAACAAGGGGAGAGAGAAAAAGAGTAAGGGACAAAGGGAGAGAGAGGCAAAGAGGTAGTAAAGGCAAAGAGAGAGAAAGAGTTAGGGAGGGAGGAGAGAGACAAGGTAAAGAGGGAGAGAGAGTAAAGGTCAAAAGGGAGAGAGGAGAAAGAGCAAGGGTAAAGAGAGAGAGAACAAGGGGAGAGAGAAAAAGAGTAAGGGACAAAGGGAGAGAGAGGCAAAGAGATAGTAAGAGGGCAAAGAGAGAGAAAGAGTTAGGGAGGGAGGAAAGACGCCGGGTAAGGTGGAAGAGAGAGAGAAAAGGACAAAAGGGAGAGAGGAGAGAGAGTACAAGGGTGAAGAGAGAGAGAACAAGGGGAGAGAGAAAGAGAGTAAGGGACAAAGGGAGAGAGAGGCAAAGAGGTAGTAATAGGCAAAGAGAGAAACAGTTAGGGAGGGAGGAGAGAGACGAGGTAAAGAGGGAGAGAGAGAGAGAGAGAGAGAGAGAGAGTAAAGGACAAACGGGAGAGAGGAGAGAGAGGGTGAAGAGAGAGAGAACAAGGGGAGAGAGAAAAAGAGTAAGGGACAAAGGGAGAGAGAGGCAAAAAGGTAGTAATAGGCAAAGAGAGAGAAAGAGTTAGGGAGGGAGGAGAGAGACAAGGTAAAGAGGGAGAGAGAGTAAAGAACAAAAGGGAGAGAGGAGAAAGAGCAAGGGTAAAGAGAGAGAGAACAAGGGGAGAGAGAAAAAGAGTAAGGGACAAAGGGAGAGAGAGGCAAAGAGATAGTAAGAGGGCAAAGAGAGAGAAAGAGTTAGGGAGGGAGGAAAGAGGCCGGGTAAGGTGGAAGAGAGAGAGAAAAGGACAAAAGGGAGAGAGGAGAGAGAGTACAAGGGTGAAGAGAGAGAGAACAAGGGGAGAGAGAAAGAGAGCAAAGGGCAAAGGGAGAGAGAGAGAACGTAAGGAGCGAGAGATGGGAGATGGGTGGGTAAAGAGAGACACATGGGAGAGTGTCGGGTAAAAGACAGGGAGAGAGCAAGGGGAGAGAAAGAGAAAGAAAGAAAGAAGAAGGGGAGAGAAATGGCACAAGGGGAGAGAGAGAGACAGAGAGACAAAGAAACAAGAGAGAGAGAGAAAGAACAAGGGGAGAGACACAGAGAGAGAGACAGAGAGACAAAGAAACAAAGAGAGAGAGAGAAAGAACAAGGGGAGAGACACAGAGAGAGAGACAGAGAGACAAAGAAACAAAGAGAGAGAGAGAGAAAGAACAAGGGCAAAGAAAGAGAGGGAAAGAGCAAGGGGAGAGAAAAAGAGAGAAAGAAGAAGGGGAGCAAGAGAGAGACAGAGAAAGAACAAGGATAGAGATAGAGAGAGAAAGAAAGAAAGACAGCAAGAAAGAAAGAAAAAAAAGAAAGAAAGAAAGAGAGAGAAAGAACAAGAATAGAGAGAGAGAGAGTGAAAGAAAGAGAGAGAAAGAACAAGTATAGAGAGAGTGAAAGAAAGAGAGAGAACAAGAACAGAGAGATAGAGAGAGAAAGAAAGAGACACCAAGAAAGAAAGAAAGAGAGAGGAGGAAAGAAAGAACAAGAATAGAGAGAGAGTGAAAGAAAGAGAGAGAACAAGAATAGAGATAGAGAGAGAAAGAAAGAAAGACACCAAGAAAGAAAGAAAGAGAGAGGAGGAAAGAAAGAACAAGAATAGAGAGTGAAAGAAAGAGAGAGAAAGAACAAGAATAGAGAGAGTGAAAGAAAGAGAGAGAAAGAACAAGAATAGAGAGAGTGAAAGAAAGAGAGAGAAAGAACAAGAATATAGAGAGAGAGTGAAAGAAAGAGAGAGAAAGAACAAGGGTAAAGTAAGAGAGAGAGAGAAAGAACAAGCATAGAGAAAAAGTGAAAGAAAAAAAGAGAGAAAGAACAAGGGTAAATAAAGAGAGAGAGAGAACAAGAATATATTGAGAGTGAAAGAAAGAGAGAGAAAGAACAAGGGTAAAGAGAGAGAGAGAAAACAAGAATAGAGAGAGAGTGAAGGAGACAGAAAAACAAGGGTAGAGAGAGAGAAAACAAGAATAGAGAGAGAGTGAAGGAGACAGAAAAACAAGGGTAAAGAAAGAGAGAAAGAAAGAACAAGAATAGAGAGAGTGAAATAAAGAAAGAGAGAGGGTATAAAGACAGGGAGGTAACACGAGGAAGAGAGAATGAGAAACAGAGGAGAGAGAGAGAAGGAGAATGGTTTTCCTCGACTTCAATTTCACGCATATTTTCTCGGAGGCTAATGAGAGCCCTAAACACGGTGCCAGACTTTGGGCGACCCTCTTGAAGCCATGACATTTGCACACACAGCAGCACCTTGTCACCGGCGATGAAGTCCTTCTACCTGTCTCAGCTCCGTGTGTGTGTGTGTGTGTGTGTGTGTGTGTGTGTGTGTGAGGAGGGAGAAGAGAGAGTGTGTGCGTTGTTTTGCGTGCGTGTGTAAAGTAAATGGGACAAAACTTGGTTGAATTCTTCCTCGTCTCACACGGTCCACTGGAATACGACGTGACTAAAAGTTTGCAGCGTTGGTTACCTTTTCGGTGGCAATCTGAAACTGCGGTGTACCCATGTATATAAATAAATACATGTTTTATTTTACTGTTGTATGATGGTTTTATAAAAGGTATATAATGTATACTTTTATTGATTATTCGTTGCCCATCATGCAATCTTCCAAGAGCTATGGAGCGTTCAAAGGCTCTTCTTGAGATCTTGAGCTGGAATTTGGATCCGGAGCACTAAACGAAAAGTCGAAACAGAAACAGAAAGAAACCTACAACATTTTTTGTGACTGTATGATCTAACTTTCGCAGTGTATTGTCGTCTGTTACATCTACCGCAATGACTGAGCCACATATTGATTCCATAGTCGTGCAAGGACGTGATGCGGTCGTCATTTGAAGATGCTGATACGATTTCGTCCGTCTTCTTGCTGCGCTTTGTTGTCTTGTCCATGTCCTGGTTACCAACTTCTGCACTTACCAAATTTCTGTAGCATTGTCAAAATAATCTTCTAATTCTTGTGATTAAAATTGAGAATATTGTTGATTTTGCTCCAAATGTATGCTGTAATACTACCTCACATTTAAAATACCTTGCAAACTTTTATATTTATTATGGTATTTAGTTTGTACTTCATCTTGTACACATGTTGGGCACCACTCTGGTACAAAACAGTAAGCTGGTAGTGTGACTGATCTGAACAATAGCTGTACCTATGGTTTGTATCTGAAGAATTAAATAATATTACACTTTGCAACGATTCACTAAATTTGAAGTCAGTTTCAAACTTATAACTAGTAATTAGACTGTATTCCATCTTGTACACATCTTGGTCACCATCCTGTCTGGTATAGTGACTGGCCTGAACAGTGTGTGTACAAAATAACGTTTGGTGGTAGTAAAATATATTAAATCAACTGTGGTCATTTTTACACTGAAATAACATAATTCTGTAAGAACAACAACATATTTAATAGCAATGGACAAAATAATTTTACTCATGTAGTCGAAGTATTGTGTTTCATGAGTAAGTTCTACTATAAAATCACCAATATGTTTGAAAGGTTTTACAGTCGCTACTCACAAACGCAGAAATACTAAGTAATACCAGAATCCTTCTAGAGAAGGAAACATCACTGGGAGAGCGCTCAGATCCACTGACCTACAGGTGATTCTACCTCCCAGAAATGAATGCCTCTGCCATTGTCTTTGTGTCCTTGGGCAAGACACTTAACCCACCTCGCCCCTAGTGTCTGCGTACAATGGTGTGTGAATGTGTGTGTGAATGGGTGAGTAGTAACTTGTTGTAAAGTGCTTTTCCACCTTCAAGGCACAGAAAGCACAGAATATTTACTTAATTATTTCATCAAAGCAATGCAGTTAATTATGACACTATTTTATATATGTAAAGGTTACAATTACTCAGTAAATTCATGACTGTTAATTGTGGTGGTAAGTACATTTTACTTAATACTGACAAATAAATTGTACCTGATATTACAGCAGGGAAATTTACTTGCTAGTGCAGATTCTTATGAGGATTTTTTCCTAGTAAATCTTACAATTTTTTTTTTTTTTCAGTGTGGTTTGTTTCTGAAGAAGGAAATAACATTACACTTTATTATTGTACACTAAATTTCAAGCTAATTTCAAACTTGTATAATTGCCACATCATGGTCACCACTCTGGTACAAAACAGTAGGTGGTATAGTGACAAAGTACCAGTATGTATTCATGGTTTGTGTCAGAAAAATTAAACAATAACGCAGTTTGTGACTGTTCACTAAATTTGAAGCAAATTTCAAACTTTTATAATTACTATTTAGTTGGTACTACATCTTGTACATATGTTGGTCACCACCGTGGTACAAAACAGTAGGGTGGTAGTGTGACTGGCCTGAACAATAGTTGTACTCACGGTTTATGGCTGAAGAATTAAATAATATCACACTTTGTCATTATCGACTAAATTAGAAACTAATTGCAAACTTTTATAATTGCTATTTAGTTTGTATTTAATCTTGTACACATCTTGGTCACCATCCTTGTACAAAACAGTAGACTGGTATAGTGACTGGCCTGAACAATGAACTAGTATTTATTCATGGTTTGTGTCAGCAAAATTTAACAATAACACAATTTGTGACTGAATTTGAAGCTAATTTCAAACTTTTATAAGTGGTAGTTCGATTGTATTCCATGTCGTACACATCTTGGTCACCACCCTGGTACAAAACAGTAGGCAGTAGGTAGTGTGACTGGCCTGAACAATAGCTGTGTATGGTTCTTGTCTGTTTGTCTCCTCGGCCCCTCTGCTCTGCTGCCACTCACCCTCCTCCCGTGTGCCCCTCGTCACCACGGCGATGACACCCTCCACTCTAATGTGCTCATTAGGCACTGCACAGCTCACACGTAATTGATAGCCATGACACATATGATGCACACACACACGATTGCAAAAAACAGGTTCCTTTTTTAATGCTGCAGTAGAAAACAAGGTTATATGAAGTCATATAATGGGGGGGTTCATTGTCAAGAACAACAACAACCGAAAAACCAAAGAAAGAAATGAAAGGACGAAGTGCACAGAATTCATAACAGGGTCTGTGCTGTTTACATGCCAATATTTTACACATAAAGTTTTTTTTTTCTTTTCTTTTTTTCATTTCAACACTGGCAGCTGTCAGTTACTTCACCAAATTAACTGCCAAAAATGTAGCAGAACGTGTCACTCAATAGGTTAGAGTTACCATGGTTACCTTTCATATCCCCAAAAGATAAAGCTGCAGTGTGGATTCATGGCAAGGTAATTAGACAGGGGGAAAATAGGACTAAAACTGAAAAAGCATTCAACAATAGGAAAGAGAGTGCTTATAAATAACTTTATAAAGTAACATCTTTTGTACAACCTTTAATATTTCATACAGCGGCACATGAGTAGTGTCTGGTAAAAAGACGTTTAACCCTTTGAGCACGAGGTGGAAATCATCAATTCACCTGTCGTCATCCATTTTGTGTCCAATTTTCTTTTGATTAAATAACACATTTATAAAACTATTGTGCAAAAACAATTTTCTTCATATACTGTCAACCAGTAGATAGTCTTTTGTTAAATTAAAAATATAAAAAGATGCATAATTTAGACATGAATTCACATTTTATATACATATGTTACACAGACCTGATTCATTGAAGGCCCCTGATCAACCAAAACACACAAATTTATTCATTATTTTAAACTTTAATCACAATGTGTCAAGTCTTTTCGATAAATTTACATATACATTTGAATTTGAAATATGCCCACCTTTCAGAAATGCATGCCAAGTTTGCAACACATCCTCCCTTTAAACTGTGCATAATCTGATCTCACAATGTCTATTCTCAAATCGATGTCTTCTGGAACCGTAGGAGAAGAAGTGCTTTGACGTACTCAGAGGGTTAAATTGAAATGGCTGACTTTGCACAAAATGTCTACAACAAAAACAAAAAAAATGTGATGGCCAAAAATTAAAATTACAAAGTGCGCCAGATTTAGTTTTCAAATGTTCAACTAAACGGTTTTCTTTATGCATGCAGCTTAACACCCCAGTGATGTCAAAATATAAATGAACTCAATTCCACAAGTTTTCAAAATACACACCACTTCATTTTAAAATGTCTTTTTAAAACCTTCATATACAGAAGCATTTCAGTGACAAACAGCCCCCATCTGCACAATTTTGAAAAGTCACTTAGTTTCCATCAAACCAGAGCACAAAATTTGAATGTCTTGGGCCCCAAGTGAGTTATTTCACATAAAAATAACAAACTGCTACAACACAAATTTTGAAAAAGCATGTGCCAAAACTCAGAGCAGTAGTTTTATGGCATCCTTGTGCAGTTCTATCACATTTATGGTCCTTTTTCCATCGCCATAAAGGTCTGTGAGGGCTTGGGAGAATGTGAGCGAGGAAGAGTCAGACAGTACAAAAGATTTGCAGCATTGTCCTCAGTGAGTGCTACTGTTTCTCCAGCTCACTAACGTACATGAGATGATCCTCGGGGGATTTGCCATGAGTCTTGCTCAGGTGAAGCTTGACCGCATGCTTGCTAGCAAAAGTCCGATTGCACAGTTTGCACTGGTGCACCGCCCCACTTTCCTCCTCCTCAGGAGAGGGGGAGGGCGACTTAGCAGGGGGTAAGGAGGTGGGCACAGATGGGGGCAAGGAGATGGGTAAGGATGGGGGCAGTGCTGTGGGCAGAGAGGAGGGCAGAGGGTGACTGGAGGGGTGCAGAGTAGAGAGCAGTTTTTCAGACAGTCCTTTGGTGTGTCGGTGGTGGTTATGCTGTGAGATCTGGCTAAGCAGCTGCTCCCCGGAAAGCTTAGCTAAGTCTCTTAAACGGAACCCCAAGTGGGATTCCAAGTGGCTGACATATGTGGACGGGGAGCGGATCTGTGAGGCACAGTCACTGCAGAAGAACACTGGATGACCTGAGTCCAAGTTCTTTAAAAACTTGGTGCCACCAGTTCTCCTTAGCTGGTATTTTACATTGGCCAACCAGTGGGATATAGTTGTCATTGACAGACCGGTGAAACGGGAGATGTGCATCCTCTCTTGGGGGCTTAAGTCCGACATCATGTATTTGCCATCACTGGTCTGTCTTAAACTGGAGGCAAACTGGGCCTGAAGGATGAGGAGGTGCTGAGGGTTCCAGTTGGACTGGCGACCCTTACGTTTCTGAGCAGGAGATACGTCCTCGGTCTCCTCCTGCGTGGCACCCTCGATGTCCGAGCGCTCAGACAGACTGGTCGGGGTTGAGGACTTTGAGACCACCTGACTCTCGGTCAGATTCCTCAGCATATCAGAGATATCTGATAGAGCATTCTCTCTCAGAGGGGAGGAGGACATAAAAGACGCTAAAGCAGCCGAGGCTTTGGTCATGGTCATGGCTGCAGAGGGGGACACAGAGGAGGGGGTGGAAGTGCTGGAGGACAGGGTGGTTGGACCCATAGGGCCACTTGTGCCGTTTTTCTCACCGTGTTTACCCTTGGTCAGATCGATGGGTTGGTCATTGCTTACATGTTGCTGGTAGAAGTAGCGCTCTAAGTGGTCATTGCTGGGTTTCTTACTCTGGGCTGGTGGTGTGGAGGCAGCTACTGCGGCTTTTTCTGCCAAACTGTTACTCATTTTGAATAACATGCTCATAGGGTCCAGAGAGGGTAAGGCAGGTTTAGCGGCCTTCCCCAAATGCACGTTCATTACAGACTGCAGAGCGCTGAGGGGGTTGACAAACGGCTGCTCTGGAGGTGGGTGGTCTGTGATGATGGCTGTGCTGCTGCAGAGCATAGAGGGCAGAGGAGATGTGACTGAGGGGGAGTCCACACCATTCTCCACACACTCTTTCACCTCACCATTTGACTCTCTGTGGTTGGTGTCTGCCTTCTCCGCCGCAGCCGTGCTCTCTGGAGTTTTACAACCCCCTGCTCTGTTTTCTTTAGGGGATTCTCCTCTGGCCGACTCCCCTGCTTCACTGGTACATGGGGACGGAGTGGTACGCCTTAAAGGTGAGGCTTTCATGGCAGCATTTGGCTCTCTCAGTTTTTCTTCCACTTTCGCCACTTTTTCAGTCACCTTTTTCACTAGTTCTTCCATAGCGTGAAAATTATTCTTTGGCAATGGGGAAGTCTGACGGCTCGGAGGGGAGATGAGAGGCTGGTTCTTGCCTGTAGGAGAGAGGATATCTCCACCGGGAAACATGTACTTCAGAGGAGAATTTTTGCCAGAGTTGCCGAGAGAAAGTTTCATAATGTTTGGTAGCTGATACGCTGCATGTATACTGGGATAACCCCCCCAACTTGGAGCTCCATTCTGAGCTTTGTTGATGGCCGAAGTAACAGTGTTCTCCAAGGACTTGAGAATGTCCAGACCTCCTTTAGGGCTTTCATCCAAGTCGTCCTCCGTCAGATAAGAGTATTTGGAGGAAATATCAAACTTCTCCTCTGCCTCGTCATCACATCCTAGTTTTCTATCTTTATTTACAACACCGCCATTGTTTATCACGGACTCTTTAGTGCACTCTTCCTCTTTCTCCTCCTTTTTAATTTCCACCGCGAGAGTTGAGGGGGAGATGCTAACAGGTGGCACCGGGGCAGGCGGAGGTGAGAAAGTTGTTGCTGCCAGAGGAACTGACTGCACCTTTTCTTCAGTTGTTACACTGTTTGTGGTAACAGGCGCCGGAGACTCTATAATCGGTTTGCCCTTTTTAATGGCCGAGTTGGTAACTTTAATAAAGTGTCCCGTAACCATCATATGAGCTGTTAACTCTTGTAGCGTGTCATGCGAACTGCCACACTCCATACACTTGAGTATCTGCGATTTTCTCGATTCAAACTGCCAGGCGTAGCTAGCCCCATTTTGGTGTCCATAGCGATTGTTGGCTGTGATATAAGGGTTGGCGTTTTTCTGTAGAATATCATTGGAATCGTTCAGGGAGGACGGTTTAGGCGTGTTTGCCCCATTTGAGTCTGGCGAGCTGGGAATGTCAAGTTCAATTGGCACCTTTTTCCTCGCGTTGGAGATAATCTTAGCTGCCACTGGGGTAACCGGTTCTTTCAGAGGCACTTTCTGATAGTGTTTAGTCTTGATCATGTGTACGCTTAGATCTTGGAGGGATTCAAAGGAATGACCGCAGTACATGCATTTTAAAACTTTCTGTGCGTCCTCTTTCCCTTCCATTTCTAGCAGCGACCTCTTCCTGGGTTTGGACCACCTCCTGGTACCCTCGCTGTCCGTCTCGTGGTTATCGTCGCGGTAATGGCCCGTCTCGTTCATGTGCACCGTGAGCTCCACCAGCGTGTCGTAAGCGGCGCTACAGTCTTTGCAGCGGAACTTGCTGGCGCCGGTGAAAATGGAGCCGTAGAGTTTGGAGCTTTGGCGGTAGAGCTGGACGGTGCTGAAGAGATTGGGTTCGGTGGAGGCGGCGGACACTGCTACTACGGGGGTTTGCTGGATCATGGCCAGTCTGTTGTGGTGGTTCTGCGAAGCCTGCTGGAGAGTTTTGGCGATGGCAGTTTGGTGCCAATCATAACCCCCGCTGCCACAGCTACTGCTACTGCTGCTGCTGCTACTACTGCTGTGACTGCGTTTCTCCGGCTGTTCCGGGGGTTGTGTGAGGTTTAAATTCAGAGTGGACCAGTACGAGTTGGTGAGGAAAGAGGTGTAAATCGCTTTCATTTTCTCCAAGCTGTCAGCCACTGATCCTGTCGCGACTAACATTGCTTCATCCGAACTTACTGGCGTGGAGGAGTTGGCAGCTGCGACTGACATGGCGGAAGACAGAGCATTCGAGGCGTCCTTGGAAAGAAGGTCCTCGTTTTTAAGGGACGAGCTTTCAAAATCAGACATCCTGTCACTGGATTCACTCAAGTGCGACTCGCTGTCCAGCTCCTGTCCAGAGAAGTCGGCGGCATTCGGGGAGTCGTGGAAACCAGTGGAACCCGGTCTGTCTTTGAGAAGAAAGTCTTTTTCTTGACACAGAAACTTGGCACCGGGCTCGTCTCCCTCTTGAGCCGAATCCTCTCCATCCAGGTCCTCCTCCATCAAGACAGCCTCCTTCTCATCTTCAGGGACGTACGCTGTTGAAAAAGAGACAGAGAAAAGACTTGTTAGAGACACGTTACAGAAAATTGATTGATATGAATACTTTGTTTTGAAATAACTGATGATAGCACGAAGGCAATAGGGTTTAGTTTTTCTCTAGAGGAAGCAATCATCCACTAATATTTACAGACACTATTTCATATCATAAGCTGCTGAGTAACGTATTTACATTGACACTGGATTCATATTGAAATCAAGTCAGAACCCGTCCCCACCCATTGGTCTTTGTTCTATGCACCATACCAGCACAGCAAAAGAGAGAATAAGAGAGAGATGTGGAATGGAATGAGATGGAGGAAGGGAGGGAGAGAGAGAGGGGGAAAAAACGTCTCTTCAAACACAACTTGCCACCTTATTCTTCTCAAGGGGCAACAGCTTGAAATTAAAACTAAATTTGAAATTAATGAAGCACATTCTGGCGGTGGCGTTCGTTTCTGAAGTAATAAATTACTTGTATCAACCTCGGAGACAGCGGTTCCTGTCTGTCAATTAATATGTCTTACGCTTCTTCTGCAGACTCTAATGCATTCTCTAACAGACACTCTCGCCATTTAAATTAAGCATGCATTTTCACTCATTACACCGCTCAGCCCTCCTCACCTCCTCGTAAATAAAAACGAATGCATGTACGTTCGCCTGCAACAAATCTCGCCCCGCAAAACACATTCACTTCAATTACCAAAGATTAGGAAAAAAAAAAAGTTTAGTGTTATTATTTACAGTTTAGCTAGAGGGAGAGGGCTAGAGGCTTTCAATTTATATTCAAATCTTTCTAGTTTAAGAGCAGTACAACGGAAATCAGCGGGACGATGTATCAAGATGAATTATAGTTTCGCCTTTTGTGCGCTTTTGCATGTGAGTAGGCGTCAGAGGATAACATAACATCACACGAAAGCTGCTCAAATGCTCGATTTGTCAAGAACAGAAGAATGCAGTAGGTGCGCGCTGCTGAAATGAGCCAGCTAGTGTAGATAAGGATTGGGGTGTTTGGGAACATCAGCTGCCTTGTGCCTAGCATTCCTTTGGGAAACAGGCCATCACTCATGTAACCTGGTATGTAAACAGTGGAGACGGCCAGTGGGGCGGGTGTGGTAAGGGCCACTGTAAACGTATACGTAGGGGTGATTTTGAGTTAGTATCTACAGAAAAAAAACTCAGATTTGCATTATTATTTATTTTTTTTCCCCAATAGAGAGTCCACTGTGCATATTTGAAAATAGAAGTGAGTAATTAAAGAAAACAGCAATTTAAAGTAGCAAAAAGTCTGGGGGGAAAAAAAATAAAAAATTTCCTTCCTACTTTTGCAGTTAAAAGTACAATCAGAGGTGGTGCTACCATTAGGCAAAAATAGGCGGCTGCCCAGTGCCCCTTTTATGACCCAAAGCCTTCAGTTCTAATTTGTTTTGTGTGCTTTAAATTATTTCGCTCGTTGTCATGATTCCTACTGTGGGAGCCCTGGTCCATGATTGGTGGAGTACTTCTACATCTGACTAATCCTGCTTCACCTCCAGACTCCTTCTCCTATTTAAGGAGGTTGCGAGACCTGTTCGGGGCTGCTGGACTTTGTTGACACTTTGCCATTTTGTGTTTGTGTTTGTCTCTTTAGTGTCAGTCACTCGTTTTGTACTAGTACATGTCTGACTTTGTGTGTTTTGTTGAGACACTTGTTTTGTTTAGTTCTATTTTTTGCCTTTATTAATTTGTCACTCGATTCTGTTTGTGGGTTTATGTAGTTTAGATTTAGTTTAGTGTGTCCCTTAGTTTAATCACTCGTTTTTGTGTAAGCCTGCGTGACCCGTTTTTTTTTTTTTTTGCACAAAACTCATATGTTAATCCTGTCGTTTAGGTTATTTTCAGTATGTATTTTAGTCTGTTTTGTTAATTTATCTTTTACATTCGTGTTAATTAAACATTATTCAATTTATTCCTTTATCCATCTTGGTTCTTTTGTTACTTCCCCTGTCCCTAGCAGAGCTGAGTCGTATCAACCCCCAACCCTGGAGGGGCCCTCAGTGCTATTAATGGCCGAGGCCTCAGAGCAATTTGATTTTGTCTCAATATGACATTAAACGAGAGTAGTTTTAAACAATAATCATAAGAAAAATAATAATAATCATATGTAATGGATGTAAACAAAAACGTAATTGTACAAGCAAAAAAATAAAGGCGACTGAACTAATAAGACATGTTTCCAGTCCACTGTATTTCAAATAAATAGAGATGTGCATATTTCAAGAGCAATGGGGAAAAACAAATAAATAGTAAAAAAAAACAAACTGTTGTGAGGGCCCCAAACTCAAGTTCACCTAGGGCCCCCAAATTGCTGACTCCGCCACTGAGTACAATCCATTATTTTTTAAGCAATACTTGTAACAAAACCAACCACATACAAGCACATTTCTGCAAATTTCTAAAGAACCAGAACATATTTTGATTGTGATGAACCTCGAAAGTGAACATCAGATTCAATAGCAAGAATAAATCCACCTAACTCTGTTGAAAGTCCGACACAGACACTGAAATACCGATAAGAAACACAATGTATGCAGCCCGAGTAGTTGAATGCCAAATCACACCTACAGTTTGGTAAAAATAGTGACTTGTGCACAAAATACCCAACGCGAGCTGCCAGTAGTGTCATCCAACACTCTTCAACTGTTGCACACTCCAGTCTCTAAGTGCGCCGTGACTTGTGCGAGGCGGTGTGTGCGGTCGTCAACGGCAACCCCGGGAGAAGGCTCTGTCACTGTCAGGCCACTGGTTGCCGACGGCGATGATGCGTCAGTGCCGTGGGATAAACATATGCACAGAGACACAGATATCCCCGAAAACATCACGTCTCTCTCCGCTCTTCTTTCTCTCCTTTTCTCTCTCTGTTTTTCTCTCTATCTCTCCGCCGGTCTACTGTATATGCATGCCTCCGGGCGATCTCCGGAGCTCCTCTCAAAAATGTCTGCTCCACTGTTTAATGAAAAGCATCTCCTACAAGCATTTCAAACATGCTACTTCGTATTAAGGTGTTTAAGAGCGCTTCAAAAATGGAATGCTGTTAAGTGCGACTACACACAAATCTTCACGTGTTAAATCAAACATGGAAGTCATTACGAATATGGGGTTACATTTTGGAAGGATTGTTACTCATCGTCAAAATCTCTGCTTGAGACTGTTGACTGTCATGACTACAAAGACAAAAATGAGAAGGTTAGGTTATTTTTGTTTGTGATTTCAAATGCAATGTAATAAGATTTGCAAAATTTGAATCAAGAGTCACTTCACGACCGACATTTTTACATCAAGTTGTCTTTGTGAACTGCAAATTACCTCTAACAAAATGGAGAATACAATTATTACCATATTATTTTTATATTAGGATAGAGAAGGATTGTTACTCATAGTCAAAATCTCTGTTTATTTCAGTTTTACTCTTAGAGGTAAGACTACAAAGAAAAAAATGAGAAGATTATATATTTTTTGTTTGTGATTTCAAATGCAATGCAATAAATAAGATTTGCAAAATTTGAATCAAGAGTCACTTCACAGTCATGATGGCTTTGTGAAGAATTGTTACTCATCGTCAAAATTTGGTAACTTAAAACTTCTGACTGTTTTGTTTCAGTTTTACTCTTAACAGTAAGAGTACAAAGAAAAAAGAGAAGATTATATATTTTTGTTTGTGATTTCAAATGCAATGCAATAAGATTTGCAAAATTTGAATCAAGAGTCACTTCATGACCAACATTTTTACATCATGTTGGCTTTGTGAATTGCAAATTACCTTTTTATTTGGAAGGATTGTTACTAATTGTGAAAATCTCTATTTGGAACTGCTAACTGTCATGTTTCACTCTCAGCAGTAAAACTACAAAGAAAAAAAAGAGAATATAATATACTTTTATTTGTGATTTCAAATGCAGTGTACTAAGATTTGCAATATTTGAATCAAGAGTCACTTCACGACCAATATGTTTGTATCATGTTGACTTTGTGAATTGCGAATTACCTTTTTATTTGAAAGGATTGTTACCGATCGTCAAAATCTCTGCTTGAAATTGCTAACTGTCATGTTTCAATTTCACTCTTAACAGTAAGAAAATATTATATATTTTTGTTTGTGATTTCAAATGCAATGTAATAAGATTTGCAAAATTTGAATCAAGAGTCACTTCACGACCCACATTTTGACATCATGTTGGCTTTGTGAATCTCAAACTACCTCTAAGAAAACTGAGAATACAATTATTACTGTATTATTTTTGTGGTAAATCAAATATGGAAGTCATTACGAATATAAGGTTACATTTTGGAAGGGTTGTTAAACTACTGACTGTCATCTTTCAGTTTTAACAGTAAGACTACAAAGAAAAAAAAAAAGAGAATATAATTTATTTGTATTTGTGATTTCAAATGTAATGTACTAAGATTTGCAAAATTTGAATCAAGAGTCAGTTCATGACCAACATTTTACATCATGTTGGCTTTGTGAACTGCAAATTACCTTTTTATTTGGAAGGATTGTTACAGATCGTCAATATCTCTGCTTGAAACTGCTGACTGTCATGTTTCAGTTTTACTCTTTGCAGTAAGACTACAAACAAAAAATACAGATTATATGTTTTTGTTTGTGAATTCAAATGCATTGTACTAAGATTTGCAATATTTGAATCAAGGAAACTAAGTTGTTGTGCATCATAGTGAAGATTTTTGTTTGCAATTGATTAATAATTATGCCTGATGACTCTTCTTTTCTTGTCTGTTTGATGTTGTGTCAGTGTTCATGTCTTTTTATACTATATGAATGAAATAAATAAACAAATAAATACATAAATAATAATAATCATAAATCAAGAGTCACTTCACGACCAACATTTTTACATCGTGTTGGCTTTGTGAACTGCGAATTGCCTTTAAGAACATGGAAAATACAATTATTGCCATATTGTTTTTATTATTATTTAATTTAAATTTGTTCATGCAC